AACTTCAAAATTGTGATACCGTAAACGTCATATCACGTGACAGCGAAATTTATTTGACTGGCGATTTAACCCTTGTTGATCTAGATTGTGTTAGGGTAACATAATTACTAATCGTATATTTTTTTCTGTTAGTCTGTTTTTTAGATCTAGCGAATGAACAGTATAAAATAAGCAATTTTTTTTGTTTCTTGTAGGTGGGTTATAATAATATTTTTGTTCGTACATATTTTTACCTGCCCGTAATTAATTTTTAAAGTAATTTGCTATCCATTTCGTGGTAATCATTATGGAGACTTACTATGATTTTTTTGTATTTAAGAACGAAAAATGAGCAGTACTAATGATACCACCACCCCAAGACTAACGAACCCAAGACTAACGAACCCGACCCTAAGACTAATGAATATATTGATCTTAATTGTCTCATCACACTCTGTTTACCGTATTATTTTTTTAAAATCAGAGTTTTTAATGGAAATGGTGTTGGATCATTAGAAACTCAAGTTCAAGCCCGTTTGTCCCTATTACCATCTGGTGCAACTAGTACATCTCGCCGGCTTCTTAGATTTTGCCCCACCCAAGGAGGATACGTAAATATAAATCCTCATACTAACCTTTATACTCTTTACAGTATTAATCCTGATCAAAATATTATTCATATACTTGTAGAACAATTACCAGGATCAGAGACAAAAATTATTTAGATTTTTTTTATTTGTATTCGCACTTATAATAGCGATATATATTTTTTATGTGTATATTGTCATTCTGCAAAAAAATATTAAATAAAGAAGGGGTCCGCTGGGCTCCTAATCATCTTTTATTTTTACGCGATCGTGTAAATAAGTATTGGTCACTATTTATACTGTTATTTCGATGTTTAGATGCAAAAGCATCCTCTTTTCAAGAGACGAATATCTAACTCATGTTACGCTGAAGTAAAAATTTTATTATTTGTGCTTGAATAGGTGTGACATCCGTTGTCACAGTGGCGCAATAAGACAACTCTATTTTATTGGTTAAGGTGTGACACAATGTCACAGTCAATCGTATAAATTATACGGCCTGGGATAAATTTAAAATCGTTGTATATCTGAAAATTAGGAACTGGATTATGTATACATCCTAGGCGGTTACTGGTGAGATAATAGGACTCATCATCGGTGAGCTTTTTCTTTTGTATTCTCCGTCACGATAATAATAGCCTCTATCGCATCCACCATATTCATCATATCTATCGTACCCATTATATCTGTCATCATCCGATTCATCTAGCCTCTCTTCTTCAGAATCATTGTCGTGGCTACAATCACTATCATCGACTATCTGAACTTCATTAGTCCCTTTCTCTGACTGAGGTGTGGGATCATCAAAACACGCCTCATCATCATAATATACCTCATCATAGTCATCATGATTCTCTACCTCAGCTGGAGCGATTTGAGGCGTGAATGATGAATTACCTAAAGAATTAGAGCCATGTATAATAGGAATAGGTGCAATTAATTCGCTTACCTCAGTTGATTCCAAAGCCGATGGAGCATTTATGATTCTTTCGCTGGTTTCAGGAGTTGGAAAATCGTCTCTTTCATTACATGAAAGGAAATTATCTATGATCTCTTGAAGTTTATCATTAGTCAACTCTGAAATAGCATTTGCAGTATATGTTGTAATATACTTAATTTTGTCCACACCTACCTTTCCAAATAAATTATATATCTTTATAGCTTTCTGAGTTTTCCCTTGCAAGTATTTATGTGTGATTTCTGGGAGTTGTAAACCCGTTTCTTCAGATCTTTTTTTACAGAGAATGGAAAGATCCTCTAACATTTTATCATAAATAATTCCTTTTGCTTTTTTCTCACCAATTTTGTTACCTTTGGTAACTTCATTAACTTGAGTTATAAATTTCTTTCCATAGTAGCACCAGCACAAAATTTCTTCTTGATTCGCATAGATTGCACCATATTCGGCATCAGTTGCTTTATCAAATAATTGTGCTAAAGTAAGCAGTGGTACTGTAGAAGAAATTTGGCTTTCTTGTAATAATATATCGTTAGAAGAACCAAGAATACATTTTTGAGACTGTGAATCGTTTTGAATACTATCAGATATCATTTGAGAAATATTTTTCGCACCTTTTTTCCTATGACTATTTTTCGGCAGGGGCGCCCCGGCTAAAATTTTAGTCATGGGATTTGATACCTCCGGTATCTTTTCAGAAGTAGAGCACTCAGTATCAGATTCTTGATCTTGGTTAAGAGATGCTTGCTCTGCTTTGCTAAGTTTCTTCTCCTTATTGCGTTCCCTTATCCCATTACTAACGCTTTTCTTATGTGCCTCGTCCAAGAATTTATCCATTTCTTTTTCCTCAGGTGATTTAGAGTTGGCAGGTACCGTTATCACCACCGGTACTGCACCATTTGCTCCACTGAGCTTGACAGCTAACACGGATATCTCCTCTGGTATCGGTTCTTCAGGTAATGAAGTATTCATTTCCTTATCATGATGCGTTACCATAGGTAACTGATCTGTAATCAAATTGAAGTCTTTGCAGAAAAAAAAATATCACTATCCACTTGACCAGATTTATGTAGACCCAAAGGGTCATTGCTTCGCAATAATTATTTACTTACGCAGTTATTTCAATTTCTTGTTGTCCACATTTAATAAAATAAGATCCAGCTTCATATCTACCTCTTATACTTTTCTCATCTCTATGACTTGACTTGCATGCTGGACATAATGACTTGTCAATAATTCCATAATAATCGAATTTTTCACTACTAAATTCTTTATATATATCAGAATATCGATCCAATATTTTATTACGAAAATAAGCACGATCATGGGTTTGTATACTTACCTGAGGTGTGGATGAGATCTTAGTTTCTGGTGAGATATTATTAGCTGATACACTTTCAAATGAAGTCTCTTCGGGATGAGATACTATAGGTGTACTTATCTCGGTCATATGAGTGTGTGACTTTAGGTCACGTAGTATAGCAATGAAATGCTTCTTGATTGTATCGATTTGCACATCAGTTAACTTCGAGAGTTTATTTGCACTATAAGTTTTAATTCGCTTAATTTTATCTTCTCCAATTACGCTAAATAATTTGTATATAGGTTTAGTTCTTTGAGTTCTTTTACGCAAACTTACACGAGAAATACCTGAAAGATACTGTAGCATTTCATCATAAATCTGCCCACTTGCTAAATCATAGGCTCTCTTATCATTTCTTTATTTTTAGGGATAATGGAGTAATATTGTCTACCGTCCATGAAAGAGGTCTACAAAAAAAAGGCGATTTTT